AAATATATATTAAAATCTTAAATCATTATCAGTTTATAATTTTCTATATTATGGAATTATTAAAACTTCCGTTGTTATTATTCATCATTTTTAATATTTATATCATATTATAAGAATTTTCTTTTTCTACTTTGTCAACAATATGATGTATTATTATCTTTCAATTAATCTTCAGATCATTACAACCTATTGTCAAATATTGTTAAGTTATAATAGTTTTTAAAATTATAATTATAGAAGCTAATGGTTTATACCACTTTTATTTAAATAAAAAGGTTAAGAATTATATTTATATTGAATTATTACTAAATTAGTAATTATTTTGACACTTATAAATACTTATCAATTTAAAGATTCAAGGCATGACAATTGAATACAAGATTTCTCTAAAATTTATTGACTGAATTTAAAAATGTATAATGTTAATGCGCAAACATATTTTATAAGCAATTAAAGTTAAAATGTTGCTGACATTGGATAATCAAACGTATCAATATTTATGTTTACGATTTTGTTATTTTATTAATTAATCAAATGCTATTGATTGTTTAAATTTTCAAACTTAAAATATTCACTATTATTTAACACTATAACAAGTTTATTATTATTTGCTATACAAAATGATAAATGAAATCATTTTATAAAATCAAACACAGATAGTTTTTAGATCTGTTTTTAATGAAATAATTTATAATGGCTTTAAATGTATAAAGTATAATATATTTCGAATTATGTCAACTATCTCATATCACATTTTTGTTGACTTTTGATGATTAATTTTACGAATAAGTGTACAGTGTATTTTCAACACTAGTTGCGCTGGTTGAAACTATCGTCATACTTTGTCATTTAGACGGAAACCTTAAACACCTTCAAAGTGATCAAAGTGGAGCTGGCTTCGCATTTAACAATCAACGAATATCTTTTCCTTGGTCATATACGGTATTTTAGGCATATTAAGGTAAGAAAACCAATATACTTAATAAAACGTTTAATTTATCAAAATTTATTTATTATTACTAAATATTAGAACCTCCAAAATAAAATATAAATACTTATTTAAAATATATAATTATTATATACTATATTTTAGTATATAAAAACTCAGAAATGATTTATTATTGTATTTAAATGTAAACTATTATATATATTTAGTTAATACTAATATGACAAATGCAATAATTTGTATTTCTAATCATAATCTAACCGTAATCATTGAATTTTATTTTCTCAAAATAAAATCTCTATAATTTAAACTTTAAAGAATTAACTTTGATTTATGAACAATTTAATTTATCATCATAATTATTTATTTAATTAATACATTTAGCAATGAGTATTGAGTACCTATATTAAGTAGGCACTATCAGACAACTTTATAAGTATTAATAACAACCGCCAATGGCATATTAGCTATTTATATATAATATGTATATAATAAAAATAATGATATTCAGAGTTATAAAAATTATTTTTAATATTGGTTAAATTAAAGTCCGCTAAAATTATCAACCGGTTGCGCCGAAACGTAAGACCCGGCACGGCCGCGGTGTGAACATTGCCGTGCACTCTCCTCCTCCGCCGGAGGCAGTGTTCGCATTTCCCCGCCGCCCAGAACGCACGCGGACGCCGTGCAGTATCCCATTTTTTTTTTCCCCCTTTTTTTTTTTTATCGTTACCGTTGCGTTGCGCAGCGTTTCGTCTCGGCGCCCGCGTGCGAGTGTTGTTGTGAGTGTTCTGACTCGCGTTATCGCCGTTGCCGACGCGCGCCGCCTCCATCGCCACTGTTCTTTGTGGTAGCGTTTCGGACGCGGGCGACGCGTGTCTGCGCGTGCGCGCGGCGCGAGCGTGAGTGCAGCGCTACGTCAGACCGCACCACCGCAGTCCGGACTAGTGACAGTGTACGGTTACTACTGCACATCGCGCGCGAGTTGCTCGCCACCGACCGACCGACACGACCGATCGAAAATAGACGTTTATCCGCGTTTACGAATTGCGGTATTTTGTTTTTTTTCTCTCGCACGTTCGTCCCCGGTGTCCGGGCCCAATCGCCACACGAACCGGCCCCCGTCGTCACGAGTAGTTTTTCTCTAACCGTTTATCGCGTTTTTATGCGAGTTAGACCGATCGGAACACGGGGTTGCCCCGAACCCCCCGAACGGATTTTTTCCTCCACGTCCGTCTGATCGCGATAGGCACGATAACGTACATTGTTAAACGTTATAATTTCTTGACGAACTGCCAGGTGCGTTTTTTTTCGTCGTTTATTTTACAGTCGGATTTTCTTTTCTTTTTTTTGTTCACGTCTTGCCCCGACCTCAGGTCCGGCACAGCAGACCACTACCACAACCACAGCAGTTAATCTCATTCGTAATACGCTCATCGGTCTCGCGATGTTGGTCGCTATGACTGCGATGCTCGTGTCCGTGGCAGAGTTCTCCAACATACTGTCAGTTTTGGCGGTGCTCATGTGCTTTTGCGCTATGTTCCTGCTGATCATGAGGTAAGTCTGCTGCCGGTCGCGTAATCATGACGGACCAGAATAATTATCGTTGGTCTGGTTCATATTATAATATAGGTTAAGCGCTAGGCACTGTATATGGTCGGGCTAGTGTTTGGTTATCCAATAATTATCGGGTTTACAATTTTTTAGTGTACCTAGGTGGTTGCGACGTCTATACGCGTGTATAGGTAACGTATAGAGTAGGCGCAACAAGGTTCGTAAAATCAATCTGTTCTGATATTAATTGACGGGGAAAAACAAACGGTAATCGCTATCGGTTACAGTGCGTTGCACAGCATAAAATATGTCAAGATGATAACGTACCTAGCTCTAAACTTTCAATAACATCACATTAAGTATAATAATATATTATCTACCTACATTCCGACTGGTTGCATTCACTTTTCATGGACAGACCTACGTTGACTTTACGACATTCACACAGTGTATCACGGTAATACTCCTCCATGCGTTTGGTATGATTTTGATAAAAATATGTTGTCGTTTAATGTATCCATGTATGTATTCCGAGTGATTGTGTTTTCGTATTTTCGTCATTAATTAGTGTCATAAACGTGTGAACGATGCACTTCTGAAATACGAGATTATAATATCATGTGTTCATAATATAACGATAACATTGTAAATACTAAATAAAAATAGTGATCGTATTTGTGGGCCCTGATAGTGTTATATGGTGACATTACTATCAGTGCTGACGTTGTCCGTGATAAGAATAATCTCTGCAGTAATTAGATAGGTAGTACTAGAAGATCTGTAATATAATATATTATAGTCGTAGATCGTAACTATTTAATCAATGTTTATGTTCATTAATAAATTAATAATATCGTTAAAAAACTAAATGGTTTACTAATAACAGTTAGTTGTAAACAAAGAATTTTAAGTGTGCATTATTGTATATGAATGTATGAGTAATACATATTTTATATCCGTTAAAAAAAAATAAAAGAAAGAAAACAATGAGTAATTAAATAAAATTTTCAATAAGTGTGTACATACATGCTATATTATTTTTGTAGTATTACAATAATAAAATATTGTTAGGTAGAGATGTAGAGTCTTTACAAATAATTAGGCATATGTTCCTAAATATTGTTTTCAGTATACATAACTGAATTGTCTTGAAAGTTTTTATGGGGATTTTCCTATTTTTATTAAATTATAAAAAATTTAATTTGAAATTAGTATAGAATGTTTATACATAATTCGCTAGCTGTGTCTAAGACACATAGTTATACCGTAATATCGACGACTAAAATGCATAATCAAATAAACACAAGTGTATTGTCATTCGTAGTACAAGTTGTTTAACAACGTTTATATTTTATGAACCACAGGTCAATTTTACATTAAACGAGTTAAAATGCTAATTTTTCAAGACCAGTGTTTATAGTGGTGTTCGTACGGTAAAATAAAACAAGATTCTGTTTAGCATTGTGAATTATAACGGTATATTCTTGTTGTATTATAACAGTACCTTTTAGTTGTCTCGACACAATACGTTCTGCAACAATCTAAATCGGTTCTTTTACCATTAATTGAATTTTATAAGATTGCATAGAATTGGGGAAAAAATTAATTAATAATATTAAACTTCGTGATACAGAAAGATACTTCTTAAACTGTTTATATTATCTATGATCTATGACTCTAAATTCTAGATTCAAAACCCATAAAAACCACAATATTATAAATTATATATACCTATTTCAATAAATTTCATATTGTATCTTCATAATATTCACGTATTATTGTTTACGGACGTTGAAGATACAAAACTCATAAATATTTTCAAACAGATAAAAACTAAATGACACTATCATAGAAGAGTATATTTGAGAAAAAAAAATATAGATGTTAAATACATATGTGAATGGAAATTTCTGTTGAAGGAGGAGTTGCAATTAGTGGACAATTACCATCGCTAATTGACAACCTACTAATAAAATCTTGTGGATTGCAACAAGTATGGGCTAATTCGTTTATTAATATCTGATTTAATGGTATATACTTATTATATGTAACTACTTATATAACCTATCTATTGAAATATTTTTGTAGGATCTACTATACAATATATATATATATTATTCAAGATTCTCATAATCCTTTAAAATTAAGAAAATACATTCAAAAGAATGTTAAAAATACAAACATATTTGTGTATGATTGTTATAATCTCATGAATATGTTAAATAAGTTGAAACGATTCGTTTTGAATACATTTCTTTATTGATTTTATGTTTCTGCGTTATTACTTAACAAAGTAATTAATAAAAGGAATAATTCCCAAGAAGTATATTATTTCATTTCTACTTTAGTCAGTCGGTTATTTTTTGCCAGGTTTTTATAGAATTTTTGACAACAAATACAATACAGGGCACAATACAATATGAGTATGTATTTCGATTATTGTATGGATTCGAATGAAGGGAGAAATAAATATAGATAATGTATAGTGGGTGGATGTTCCATGGTACATTTATAAAAATCCGATTGTAAAAATATAGATATAAAGAAAAAGTTATTTTTATCCGCAGGTATTATATACATATATATTATATAATGAAGTTTTAATTTTCCATCCCCTTATCCCTCCTGTTATGATATTGTATAATATTATTATTATTATATTTCTCTACGGGTGACGATTCCGAGATGATAGAGTATTGTGTATACGCATTTCTTCGCGTGGATATTCGATACCATTTAAAGAGGATAGAAACATGAATTCTCATGAATTCATGCCTTACGGCTCTGTGGGATTGGATCAAAAAAAATATCTATTGGTGATAACAATAACAAAAATATTTTACTCTATTGTATCGGCACGAATTTTATATCATGCAGCCGATCGTGTTCATGCTTAATACACTATATTATTATTATTATTTATTATTATATCGTATAATATACATCGCGATGCACGACGGCAATGGTCCAATGAATCGACAACGACGACGCACGTTTAAAAAAAAAGAATAATTTTCGCTCGTCGTTGTCGTCGAGGTCAAAATGATAATCACGAGTAGAGAACAAAAATGTAGGAAAAAAAAAACCATCCGACAATAATAATGCCGCCAACGACTACGGTCGACCGATCGGCAGTCGTCCGCCCCTCTTAAATTTGTATGCAAAATCTGTGTGTTGGGCCGTGTTACGTAATTCGTACGAAAGACACGTATTTGCGTGCATGTGCGTGTAATAATGATACGTGTATTATACGATAATATTCACGTGGATGATGCTGAGGTAAAGTTTCAAAACGAAATGCCATTATAATATTATTTATATCATTGTTCAACAGTCGTAGCGTGTGAGTGTAATATTATTTTAATAATGCGTAATATATATATTATTATGTTGACGAGTAACGACGACGGAGCGTTTCACAATTTTATCGTCTTTATTTTTTAAATCGGTTAGGACAACATCCTCGAAGGAAAAAACGACACGGTACACGATAATTTTTGTGATGCACGCTAGCGACAGTCGCAGTTTTTTTCAACGAGACCGGAAAGAAAGTTGTTTCGCACCGGTTTAATTACGAGTTTTGTTTATATATTTATTTTATTCATATGGGTGTCATATGACGCTGTCTTCGCCGTTACTAGTTCATAGTAAACAGACGGACCGGCATCATAATACTGTATTATTTTTGAATTTACAAATAATTGCAATATCAAACAAACAAAATAAAAACTAAGGAAGTTATTCTGTTGTATCGTTTGCCATTACAATATCTTTGATTTTTTTAAATTACTTTAATAATTAATACATTATGATGAACATAAAATATTGTGTTACGTTATGAAACTTTTTGAATTACAATCAATTCGCTACTAGAAACCATCCTCAATATTGAAGCAATGTTTCTGGTATGGAAATGTCTTCAGGTAGAAAATAAAAAAAAATAAAAAAAACAATCATTGTAAAATTAGAATCTAATAAACAAAAACATAGCTGGATCATATGCTATTTTGCAACTATACCTCATGGGCGACACCGACATGGGTCATGGCTCATTTTAAATTCTAAGCGGAGCGATTAATGTATATTTTTTTTACAATAATGTGTGTTTAGACTGTTTAGTAAGTACTTTGAGGGTCAAAAGTAAAAAAAATTCTATTACTTTTAAATATTATCCGAAAAACAACGAAAAAGGAAGGCAACCCTCGAGGTGACCACTTTGCTATACAGAATTTAGGTATTTGAAAATGTTATTTGTGTATAAAATATTATACTCGTAATATGTAAAACTTTCTCGTGAGTTTGACGGATTCGCTAGGGATCAATTGATTTTTTCATCATACAGAAGTTTCCATTATAAGGAGACTTAAATATACAATATATACATAATATTATGTTATACAATACTGTTATTATTTTCCATTGTGAAGAGATATCTTACTAATAAAGATTTATCTTAAAAAGTTGTACCTACTACATACTTAAAAAGTTACTAGTCTTCATAAAAAAAATTTTGACTTGCATCAAATTAATTAAAATTGTTATTTTTGTATATTGTTTGTATAAATAATTAATAAATTCATCCAAATTTTAATTTCGGATTTCTATAAAAAAAAATTATATATTTTTAGATTTTTTAGTTTCAAATAAAACTATTCACTCGTAAAAGGAACTTTTTATTAAATTTTAAAGCCTTAACTTTGAACATTTTATACATCTTTAAATGCAAAATAATATGCAGATGTTCGTGGTTCTTATGAGTTTTATTAAAAATGTAAACTTAAAATGTGTGCAAAAAAAAAAAACTTTATTGCTTCAAAAGATGATATAACAGATATATACAAACAAATAAAAAATATATTGTTAAGTTAAACCCATTTATAATCTAAATTGACTTACAGATAATTAATTAAACACTTTGACAAATTCGATTTTGTTTGATAATTGTAATTCTATACTTAAATTGTTCATTTATAATAATTTAAATATATAAAAATACATAAGCTCAATCTTTTTTATAAGTGTTTGAAGTATCACGAGAATTTGTTAATTGTTTATTGTTAAAAATTCAGAAAAACTTAGTTTTAGAATTGTTATTGTACTATATATATAATGAATTTCCGATACACGTCTTTGTACTGATCAAAGGATATGTAATTATTTACAAATATTCAAATACCATACTTTTTTTTTTTTTAACAATTGTGGACATGTTATTTTATTATTAAACGAGATAGTTGTTGGCCAGGTTAAACAAGTCCTTTCATAACTACTAATCTCACTATGACTATGCTATACACAATACCAATACCGACTGAACTGGTATAGAACATTGACCCTCTCATATGTTATTAACCGTGAACTTTCTATTTCTGGTAGACACATAAACCTAGGTATATACATAATTGATTTAATTATTGTAAGAAATCAATGATATTTGCAGAGTAGTAATTTAAAAGTTGTGTTGCTGACGTTTTCAACTGTCCATTGACCAATTAATTAAACTTTTTTGTAAAATTTACAAAAAAAATAAATAGAAGTTCTAATGAAGTTTTAGGGGGAGTTTTATAATTTCGTTGAAGGCAGCATACGCAAAAGGGTACTGTGATGTAGTATGGAATTGTAAATTTCTAATACGAATAGACTTTAATTGCTGGTGTAGAAACAAATAAAACTATATGATGTTAATATAGTACGATTAGTACATCTTGAGTAGGTATTTGAAATTCTGAAAACGGGGTGTCTAAATATTTGATTTGATAGAAGGTTAAATTCTTATAGATTTTGATATTTTATAGTAAATTATTTTTAATTTGAAATAAAGTAAAGAATGCATTTTCGTTTAGAATCGATAAAAGCTAAAAAGATATTTTTTGGTTGTAAACGTTTTTTATAGTATATTGTCAATTAAATTTAGGGTTATTTTATGACCATGATTTACATTTATTTTTGTTTTTAATTATTAAGAATTTGAAATTAATGACTTAAAAAGAATTTAATTATAATTACGTTTTAAATTGGTGTTCTAATTACATATTTTACTAATTATTTCAGTGTATGTTCAGAGAATTCATAATTTTTTATTACTAATGATAGTTTAATTTGAATAAATATTTGTCTTATTTTTTTAAATTATTTCCTAATCTAGTATTTTCATATATTTTTACTTAACACATTTTATTATAAATTTTTCAAATGTATATTTAAAATTTCATCATAGATTTATGTTTAAACGTAAGTAATTCAATTATATAGAATTATAGAACATTGTTTTTTATTGGCATACGACTATTTGTTTCTTTTTAGTATTGTGTAGAATCAATTATTTTTTTTCTTTAATTTTGGGGACCTTGTAGCTTTATTTAATTATTGTTTAATTTTAATTTTAATGTTTCTCTATATTTATGTATTATTTTAACAGTTATTAATTTCTTATTAATTTTCCTCGTGAAAATGTGAAGGCTATTCTCTGGTCTTAATAGTTAATTATTTTTTTTTTAATATCTATAATATTAAACTGTCAACTTATTCTATTAACTTGATAAAAACGAAAGATATTGAAAGTAAATATTTAATTTTTTGATAAATTTCAAGAAAACTTCTGATAATAACTAAATAGTAAATACAAATATTTACACTTAATTAATAACCTAACAAAATATTGATATTATTTATTTATTAATTTTTTGATAGTCACGGTTTTAATTGGATAAGCTATCTTTATTTCGCATACAGCTATATAGTATTAAATTGTATTGGTTTACAAATTAAATAATTTTTGAAACATTAAAAATGATGTTTAAATAGGTATACCTATTTTAAAATCATTAAATTAGTTAACTTTTTTTCGGCTTATTTTTAAATTAAAAATATTTATCGTATTTAAAAAATACTTAACTATAATTTTATGATTGACAGTAATTCTGACAGTTACAATATTAATTTATCTACGTCCATCATTGTAAACGATTAAATAATACTATAGACATTAAACGATTAAACTAGTGAGTAAGGCAGTGTAAGTTAATGCGTTGATAATCCATACAGGAAATATTTTTACATCAAAATGTCAATACTAATAACCCCCAATTAAAAAGTCTTAATTTTTATTGTGATGACAAAAGTCACATAAAAATATTCACGTATTTTTATATTCTAAAAGTGAAGCAAAGAAACTTTGTGTTTTTATTATACCTATTATTTCTTTTTTTTTTTTTTCATGATTTAATTCACAATCTGTTACAAATACTCGTAGTTTTTAACTTTTTTATTGGATATAAAAAACATGCTTTTAAATAGTAATACATAAGTTTATAGTTAAGTCAATATGTTTCTCAATTGGTTCAAAAATTGGATTATTAATTATTTCGTTGAATTAAAATGTAGATTTTACGAAATTTTCTATTGAAAAAGTTTAATCAACTCCTTGGGTTTTTAAACAATTTGCTATCTTTAATTTATATATATGAAAATGTTTATATGTTATACATAACATGAAAAATAAAAAATCATCAATCAATGTAAATTTAAAAATTATATGTTTTAAATGATTAAAATTTTACTTATACTTATAGGTAAGTAAAAAGTTTTTGATAATTTTCCTGTAACCAAATTTATTCTACAATAAAAAATAAATAAATATTATTGATTATTTACTTAAAGAATAAAATTTCATAATTGAAATTAAAATAAATTATAAATAAAATAATTCTATTTAAAAACAATAATATTGAGTACTATTATGGTTTCAATATTTATCAAATCACGTTTACAAATAATGAATGATACTAAAGATTAATGTTGGCATTATATTTCAGACACGTTCAATAGATATTTTGTAATAACTAATAAGTATGTTTATAGATTAAAATTGGTAACGAGTACAATTGTTGATTCAACTTAAGTTTATTCAGTCAAATTTATGCTTTTATAAAGTTCATTTAACTAAGGTTGTTAAAAATTTATTTTAACATATTAAAATGTTTTTTTGAAGGTATAGTTCCAGCTAAATTAAAGTTTTAGATTTTCTCATGGCATGGTTATAATTGAGATTGTATTTTAATCACAAAAAAAATATTTTTTATTTAAGACGAGACATTTTTTTATTATTATATCAATTTATTTATGTGGGTTTACCTCAAATTGACCTTGTTAAAACTGCACAGTATAGTTAATAATTTTGTTTCTGGTTGAAATATAACGGGACATAGATTTATTCATTATATATATTTATATAAAATTATATTTAGGTTAATATACCATTAAAGTGTTTAGGAATTTGATAGGTAAAGAATTATTCGAGACAAAAAAATAACGGAAAATATGAAATAATTAAAAATATATATATATCGGTTGAATAATAAAAAGTAAAAAAACTTATTAACAAAGGATTGGATGAAACTCTAAATTTAATAGAAGAAGCCAATTTTAAATGACAAAAATTGCTGTGTTGAAAAATGAAGTTTATTACATTTAAAAGAATAATGAATAATTTTAAATTATCAGAGTGATGAATGGTTTTATAGTGGTGTATTTTTTATATCTAAAGACGTATTTTGTAAAAAAAAAAAAAAATAAATTATTGGTTAGGAACCTTTTATGAACTGTTTAACCCCTTACTAATTTATTTATTTCCATAAATTAACGACCAGCATTAAAATGTTTAAAATTATATATCTATATAAATGAAAATTATAATATTTGTTCATTTCTCGTTAATGCAGAATAAATATATAAGTATATAAATTAAGTATAATATATAATAATTTTTTTTATAATTTAAAATAACGTATAATAAAAATTGAATTTCAAACGAGTAGTTAGATTAATAAAATGTGTTTATTTTCAAATAGTGATCAGTATAATAATTATATATATATGTATTAGTTATTTAATTGAAAAAAGTACTGACATTTTAAAATTTCCTATACATTACACTTTTTGCATACTGCCGTTACTATTTACCAAATTATAATTTCTTTAACAAAAAAAAAAATCATACTGCTTTTTGTTAATGTTCTTAAATTAAATAATAATTATTGAATCATAGTATTTTTAGTCTACCTATTATTAATTTAAATAATAATTTAATATCTATAACAAATCGTACTATATTTTATGTTTAAGTAAATTAAAAGATTTGGGAATATTGTTATTTGATTTCTGTTCATTTACCTTTTTAATAGCCTATATTTTATCAACTAGCATTAGCTACCAATGAATCGTTTAATGAACTTAGTTCTGTTTTAATCGCTGAATTTAGAGAGAATTTATCGGCAAGTTGTGATTTATATTCTCGACAAAGATTTAGATAAAGTTTTTTTATTTTAGATTTGATATAATTTAATAACAGTCAATATATTTTTATATTGTTTACATTTTAGGAATATGACAGTATTTTGGCTGCACGGCGAAGAACTAATGTTTGGTGGTAATACAGTACATCCTGTTCAACAAAGGATACCTCAGATGAAAATGATGAAAGTCCACATACCATTCACATTTAAATTACACGAGACATCTAATTCTTCTTATTCGGGTAAATAATGTTTGTTATATAGATAAAATAATTATAAGTTTCAAAGGCAATGGATTTTAATTTATAAATTAAAATATATTGATAATTTATGTTTTTAATACATTTGATTACCATCCAATATATATTATTTTTTTAGATTAATTAAGAATATTTATAAATCAATTTTTATCGTAAATATATTTTTTGTAATTTAATGAGTGGAATGTAACCACATTAAGTCAAGCTATTGATACTAAAATTAAATATTAATTTATATATACATATAAATTAAAAGTTACATAAGTTACATTACACGTCATACTTCATTAAAATTGTTTACAATATATTATATTTATCATTAATCTGATTTTGAATTTACTTGTAAATTTTTGTTTTATTATTAAGTACCCATTTTTTAAAGGATTAATAAAATACCTAATTTCTACACGAACTAATGGAAAAGATTTGGTATATATATGTAGGTAAGTCGAAGACCAAACCCTTGGTATGTCTTGCAATGTCCTCTTACTGAAAAAAAGTCTTTGCTATTATGAAATAAATACTCATTCAAAGGTATTTATCGGCCCTCATAATGTAAATCTAGAATCATAAACAACTATAAATATATCCTATTTGCGAATAAGGATATCCTTGAGTTCTAATCGGTATTTCATAATATTTAGATACTCAATGTTTATTTCATACATTTCTATAATACCACAATAAAACATGGATTATACATAATTATAATTATATCTGTTATTAGTTAGAAACCAGAGATCATTATATTCAATCATTATATAATCTAGAGCCTATAAAGCGTCGAGATAATTGTTAATTTAATTGTATACATTTTAAATCAAATCGAATTAATGTGTTATTTACCAGTTTATTGTCTATTGTGTATATAATGTGACTGGTGAAGTTTAATTTTTCATCATTGAATTTTCACTCAATGATCTATGCAACTTGATATAAAAAAATACTTTTGCAATTCAGTAAAAATGTTTTAATTTTAAGAAGTATTTATAGTTTTATAATAATAATTTAATATGGTTTCGGTGTATGAATTTTGAACCACTTTGACGAATGTGGATGATTTATTTTATCGTTAAGCCTACTGCAGCATAGTGGTTCAAAATGTATTATTTTGAATATTTATAGCATAAATTGTGTTTTTTTAGTGTTGTTATTATTTCTATAATATGATGATAATTTGACGTACGCAATTAAATAATAATTTTAAATTATTTTGGTATTTATAGTAAAAGAGCTTATTGTAAATTTTGTTTTATAAAAAATATAATTATACTGTTTTTTTAATCTATACTTCTGAGTACAAGGTCTTTAGAACAACTCGTTTTTCGTGATGAAAACTATATATATATATATATATATTTATTTATTTAAGTTAAGACAGTATTAAAAAAGTGTATCTATACTTAAAGTACATAAAAGTATACTTCGAAATTCTTGTAATGTTTTAAGGGCTAGAATTAATATACATTTTTAACATAACCAATTTGATTTTCTTCCATAGAATTCTATGTACCATTCAAACATTATAGGAATGCCAATTTGTGAAGGTACTAAAATAGTAGAATTTGAATAAAGTATAGGACGCCAAAAATTATACATATTGTCCAATGTTATTTTTGTAAATTATTATTCTATTCATTGGCTAATATTTTTTTTATTATTACCGCAAACAAGTATTAACTCAAATGTTCTTGTTTAGCTAAATAAAACTTATTAAGTTACCTGAATGAAATATTTTTTAATATGATTATTAAACTTGTTTTTATTCCAAAATGATAATAAATAATATTATTTTAATTTATTAAGAATTTATAAAATTTTACAATTTTAAATTTATTACATTAAATTTGTTCGTTAATTGACCAGTATTAATTTTTACCATTATTCATTTATATTTCAATCTATTATAATAGTACATTAATACCATAAAATCAAGTTTTTTTGTATTTTTGAATACTCAAGTTTTTATACTAACATCATAATATAACCTTCAAACAAATAATTTTCAAACTCTTGACTGTTTTATTGTCGTGAATTTTGCCAAAGAAACATTGTGAGTGTGATTATTTTTAAATATTAACTGAATCCAATTAAATTAAGAGCTTGTAAAATCCCCGTTTACAAAGGGGACAATTAATTTTAAAAATTAATCATCGACTATTTTTTTTAAATAATTGCTTTTTTTTAACAAAGTTTATATAAAAATGTCAATTTTCAAAATTGTCTTAAAGTCTTAATGATTATGTTTTTTTTTTTTTAATTTAATACGTGCTCTGACATGTATTTTTTTCGTTTTGATATTTATTATTATTTTTTTTTGTTTTATTCAACAGAAATAAATTGAAATTAAATTAAAACTTGATTCATTAAATTAAATTAATATTTAATAATAAATTATTATGTAATCACTAATCAGTATATTATGGTATAGTATTATTTTATCTTTTATTAATGTAACTAGCAAGCTAATAATATGTATTATCGCTAAGAAATATTAATTATTAATTAATCATGAAGTACTGTTTTAATTATTTAATAGCTAAAAAAAACTAAGTGTTTCTGCTGGTTAATGGCATTGAGTATGTCACTATTATGAATGTATTAAATTTGAATTCAATGATGAATTGTTGAATATACTCGTACGAAAATAGATTTTGAACAATAAAGGCGGTGCCTCTATTACTGAAGATATTTTATATTTTTTTATTATGTTGGTATTACTATAACATATTATGTTGATCTAATTTTTTATATAAATATTGCAATCGTATATAATAATAAATATAATATTATACCTTGTATTAGTTGTTTTATTTGATTTCGCCCAAGTTAAAATTACTCTATAATTCTATCGTTTTCCATTTTACTTAAATTATAATATCTTATATTAATATATATAATGAATAGTTTTATGATTATTCACTTATTTACTCTGGATACATTTTATTTATTAATTTTTTAAACACAAGAAACTACTCAAAAATCATTACAGCAAAATTTTATTTTTAATTCCAGTTTGAATTTAATAATTTATGAGATATTATGATAAATCTTGTTTTTAATTTTCAAACTTTTGAATAGAACAAAACTAAAAAAAGTCTATAAATGGCCTAATTAGATAAGTTACAACGTTTATTCATTTTTAAATAATAAAAAAAAAATATGTTTAAAACAGCAGTCATGCGTAAATATTTTCTTATTATATTTTAATTATTTTCTGGTTAATATGAAAAGTACTGCGAATTTCTAATTCTTAATCCAACCACAAAGTACTAACTTCGATCTAATTTTATATCAGAAACTATTTTTAAAGTTGAACTTAAATTTTGCACTTATCTACATTCCTTGCTTAAGATCCATCTTTCAGGTGTCAAAATCTACCGCTTCACCTGTAATTAAGGTTAATACTTTTTCATTAGATGTAAATATCTCGTTGGATAATTCTTACTTAAAGATGTATTTAATAAAGAATTTTTCATTTTTTACTCCTTCTTTGGGTGTACGGCGTACCTATTATTCCTGACGTTATTTCCAAAAAACTTTTCCTGGCCTCCTCTTAACTCCACTTTTTTGTGGTCACTTGTAATACATTATTAAATCCAACAAGCTTCCGCTATATAAAACTAACTTCCCCATCTCTAGTAATTTCCTCTATTAGCCACTTAAACCATATACTAGCATTTCTAACATATTTTTTCTAATATCTTACCCACTGCATCATTATACATGTGACCGAACGCTTCGTAATAATTGAAACGTTTAAAACAATATTATTATTATTAAATAAATTGCTTATCGACACTCCCTCACTTTCTGGCCTCCAAGCTCTCTCTTCTAATGTATTCAAATCATAAACTTCTTCTCTCTTTTATATTCTTTAATAGAAACAAACTTTGACATTTAATTTTTATAGGTAATTAGCCTTTCAGAAAAAGCGGTATCAAATTCTTTAAAAAATTAACCATATTTATCGCATTTTTAGGATACTCTCCTTGAATAAAAATGTCGTAGTCTAATTTCATCTCCAGCCTCTAAACTTTTTTAATCAACTTATTGCTTAAATACTAGAGAACATTCTAGCTTAATTTCAGCACCTAGTATAAAAATATACACCCAACCATTTTACTACAACTCAAGTTCACAATCATAATCTCTATAGGACATACATAACATCGTTCTCCCGTCATCGATTGGCCCAACCTTATTACCATTTCATTCCTTCAAACTTTCATTGAATGACTCCTTCCGCTGTACACTCCACAACATCCATATGAATTATAACTTATCTTCAACTTCCTTAATTTCAGTAGTATAATATCATCTCAAAAAAATATTTCATTTTTTTACTACTTTTTTTAAACCATATTGGATGTATAATTTAATTTTTCTCTCTTTTTTATACATCATTTATATTTTTCAAATTAAATTGAATTCAATATTTTAATTATTGAAACAAATTAACAAGCAAAATTAAAATTAAAAAACTAAAACAAAATTGCATAAAAAATATATTTTCAAATATTTGAAAAAAAAAAAGTTGAATCAGTTTTATCAATTACTTTGTTAAAACTTAACAAAGCATAATACTATAAATATTATTCGTTTAATTAAGCAAAGTCTTAATTCATTAAATAATAATTTATAAAATTAAATTCTTATTTTTCTTGAACTAAATCGATTTAAATTATAGATAGGTGTGAACTGTGAATATTTGCTTTCTGTAACAGCCAATAGATAATTGTTGTAAAGTTTCTAGATATTCATCTAAATTTCAATCGAATATATTATATTTGTATTTATGTATTAAGATTAAATTATATACATGTAAAAATTAAATAAAAAAACATTTTTTTAAAGTTTATTGGCATAAAAATGTAAATCTATATTTATGTAATATATTTACACTAAAAAATATAAATTTAACCTAGCTTAGTTTAAAATTATTATTCAATTTTTTTCGGGATTTTTTCACTATTGAGACT